AACAGTAACTGTATTTATAAATGTCCGGTAGATGAGCTGGGTGTTGTGGCGCATGCCTGTAGTCCCAGCACTTGGGAGGCAGAGGCAGGCGGAGCTCTGTGAGTTCAAGGCCAGCCTGGTCTACGTAGTGAGGTATGCTGTACTAGACACACCCTTATGATCCCCTGTACACACAATAAATAAATAAATAAAGAAAGAAAGAAAGAAAGAAAGAAAGAAAGAAAGAAAGAAAGAAAGAAAGAAAGAAAGAAAGAAAGATTGTGGCTGTGTAGTTTATTGGCAAAAGAACACATATTTGAATACTGTTCTTTAATGCATTTATTCAATCAAATAACAAGGCTTCACTAGTCAGCCCTGTGTACTGAGAGCCACAAATACATTGGAGGATTAAAGAAAACAAAACAAAGTTAGTATGTGTCTGAAATGGAGAGATGCACCTACGTAAAGTGTTTAAACTACATCACAATTTGCAGAGGCCTGAATAAGCAAAAAAGCAAATAAATGAAAAATAAAATTTAAAAATTAAAAAAACCTGTGATGGAGCATGAGATGGGTGGCCACCACCCTGGTCCTGATTATCCAGCTGATGGGCTGCCAGATCTGGGGCATGCCCAGGACCTCAAGGATGGGCTGCCCCAGGGGAACAGCAATCAGCTGGCCTGGTTTGATACTAACCTGTAAATCATCCTTTAGAGGTAACAATATAAATAAATGGATTTTGGGAGTGACTCAAGAAGTGAAGAGTTCACAGGAGTGGATCACAAGATGGAGTTTATTAAACCCTAGCCTTGCCTGTTAATTTCTTCTTTAACGATATCTGTAATGAGGGACCGGAGAGATGGCTCAGCAGTTAAGAGCACTGATTGCTCTTGCAGAGGACCCGGGGTTCGGGTCCCAGGACCCACATGGTGGCTACAAACCATCCTTAACTCCAGTTCCAGGGGAATCTGACGCCCTCTTCTGACCTTTGTGGCATAGCATGACACAGGTGCACTCACGTGCATGCAGGCAGTACACTCGTACACATAAAATAAAAATAAATTTAAAAAAATATTTTAACAAAAAGGTATCTGTAATGGTACTGACTTTGCTTGCTTTGAAGTGGCACCTTAATTATTTTTTTTTGTAGTAACTGTTAGTTTTTAAGTCTCTCATACTGTTATATCATAGTGAATACTGCTAATTCTAATTTTTAAGAATTGATTAATGGTTTAGAACACTAATTCATAATCATTCTAATTGCAATCTGAAGAAAGTGTAACATTGTGTGCCTTTTTGTATAAAATAAACAGAAATGGTCCAATTATTTTCCTTATTAAATATGCCTAAAATAAGCAGGTCAATCTATTTCATGTTTTTGAACAAAAACTTTATTTGGGATATGTATGGTAGGGTAAGTTAGTAAGAGGTGTTATTGGGAACCTTGTTTTGAACAGTTTATCAGTTACCTTTTATCCTAAAGTTGTTGTAACCTGCTATGGGACAATGCTTCGAGATACAGTTATAAGATGGTTTGGAACTGAACTTTTAATTCATTCAAAAAAAAATTTTTTTTAATCTGTAGGCCTGAGGACATGGCACAGTTGGTAAAGTGCTTGCCATACTTAATCCCCCAGAACCCCCTAAACATGGGTGTAGGGTCAGTGAGATGGCTCAGTAAGTAAACGCATTTGTCATCAAGCCTGACAAGCCAAGTTTAACCCCCGGGACCTCCGTGGTGGAAACAGAGAGAAGTGATTTCCATAAGTTGTCCTTTCACTTTTACATGTGTGAAATAGCATGCACCCCTTCCTTCCCCCACAATCAATCAATCAATCAATCAATCAATCAATCAATCAATTGCAATGTAAAAAAAATGGGCATGGCAGAGTTTCCATGGGTGTTTCCATTGGGCTTGCTGGTCAACATGCCTAGCTTTCTTGGTCTTTGTCAGGCCAGTGAGAGACCCTGTCTCAAAAAAACAAGGTTGATGGTTGACAGAGCCCAATGAGCAACACCTGAGGTTGACTTCTAGACTCCACACGAATATGTACATATAAATACACATGTATAGACACATGCAAACACATACCTCCCTACTTAAGAGCTAAGGAATTACCTCAAGGCCAGCCTGGTCTACATAGTGAGTTCCAGGCCAGCCGGAACTACAGGGAGGCCCTGTCTCAAAAAACAAACAAAAAGAGAGCTAAGGAATTACCAAATAACAATGGAAAGTGTCTGCTAACCTACTTAAAGAGCTTTGGTTGGATCTGGAGAGATGGCTCAGCACTTAAGGGCACTGGCTGTTCTTGAAGACCAGGGGCTCAAATCCCAGCACCCACATGGTGGCTAACATACATCCCTAACTCTAGTTCCAGGAGACCCAACGCCACCTCCCCCTCCCCCTCCCCCTCCTTTTTT